CAGCGTTCACCGGCCAGAGATCGGACCACTCGGGGCGAACGTTGAAGTTCACGCTCCCGAACACGGTTTTTTTCATTCCAGCCGGGGTGATCACCATCTTCGAGTTCACGGTGGCGAAAAGTATGGCGCCAAAGAGCTCGGCATTGGGCTCAAACCCGGAAGTCCGGCACGCCCAGTCGAAGATAGCAATCCGAACAAGCGCCAACGGGCTCAGCTGCGGAAGTTCCACCTCAAAGAGGCGAAGGATCTCCGGCAACAACACGTTGCAGGGAAACCGTAGCCCTGCCTCAAAAAATACGGCAAACACCACCGTCCGGTTGTCGATAGGTTTCGGCACCACGATTTTCCCTGGTGCGAAAGCCTGCCCCTCAACCAACTTAGCTCCGGAGCTGACCAGCTTCGCCAGCTTTACGTCGTCCACAAGAGAGACCCCCAGAAAGGCGGTGCTGTCGTCATCGACTCGGCCGGGATCTGGCCCTTTCGCCGAAGTAGGGTTTGGCTTACGTGGAGCCATGACGAATGGTGTGTTTGCGGTGGCGAAAAAAGAGATTCGGCGAAATGCCTGAGGGGTCGAAAGATGCTGTGAAAGGAAGAGACGGAGAAAGAGAGCGCGCGCGGTAAAATGGCAAGTGTGGCGGTGAAAAGGAAAGAGCAACGGGAATATATAGCCCACCCAGGCGACCGTTCGCCTACCCACCAGTAATAAAGCGCCACATGTCGCAAGGGTAGGCGAAACGGTAAATTCCCATCGACCGAGCGACACAGTAAAAAGCCCAAGATAGGAAGGCCCAATACTGTTCCGTTCGGCCCAGGAAAAAAGAATATATATAACCATCAATCGCACGAGGCGAAGCGCGGCAAAATAATACCAGCCGCACAAATAACAAACTTCATTCGCAAGAATAATGTAGGTTTCGGCAGGAGCATCGGTCGAAAGGGGGCGCCGCATACCATACCACATGGTTTGCACGGTCTCGGCCGAAGCTCCAATCTCACCCTTGCCCGTGAGGGGCTTGTTGGCGGATGGCATGAGGCCCTTCGACCAAACCTGCCGAAACCCATGGCGAAGGCTATGGAGCAAAACGGCGCAAGGCGAAGAGTAGCGCCAGGCCAGAGGCGTCTCAGGCGAAGGGTGCAAGGCGAAGACTGTCTGCCGAAGGAGGATGACTTCGCCTTGACAAGTTCGCTCCCGCAAGGGCTGAGGAAGCCCCTCCGGCCCATCAGGCCGGCGATCGCCAGACGGCCCATCAGGGGCCCATGAGCACCTATAACATTATGTACCCCTGTAAATGTCCCTTTTGTAAGGGTAATCATGTAAATTCCCCTGTACAACCGAAACCCTGGTAGTAAGAACCTGTAATGGGGCTATAAATAATCCCCTAGGGCCATGTAATGGGGGGATCCCAAGTGAAATTCAAAATTTAGTACACTTTATTTTCCCAACCACTGTTGAGTAACCACGTCCTTCGACATATGCGGTTGTCGTTTCGACAACATTAATTTTTGTGTTTTTCGTTCCTTCTATGTAGTTTTCCTGTAGTTTTTCTTTTCCGAGTTTTCTGTGTTTTTAAAGTAACGAATTTACTCCGTGGAGGTTTTCATTTTCTGTAGTTTTTCTTTTCTGAGTTTTCTGTTTTTAAAGTAACGAATTTACTCCGTGGAGGTTTTCATTTACTCCCAGCCTCCCACATCTGCTCATTCAAAAGTAACAAATTTACTCGCATGAATGCCTCCACATCGTATGACGCCATACGATGGTCGAGTTTTCTGTTTTTAAAGTAACGAATTTACTTCGTAGAGTTTTTCATTTACTCCCAGCCTCCCACATCTGTTCATTCAAAAGTAACAAATTTACTCGCATGAATGCCTCCACATCGTATGACGCCATACATCTAATGGTTGTAAAAGAATTACTACCAGCTTACAACGCTAGTAATTCTTTTACCAATGTTATAAATATTGTTTAAATTTTGTGATCTGTGAGTAAAACAATTACTACCTTCCTCTCGATATAGCCCATGATCTCGTAGCCACCGTGTAGTAATATGTTTACTGACATATTCAATACACAGTATAAGAGTAAAAACTGAGATTTCGTGGTCTGCGAGTAAACAATTACCACATTCCTCTCAATATAGCCATGATCTCGTAGCCACCGTGTAGTAATATATTTACTGATGTGTTCAATATACAATATAAGAGGAAAAACTGATACTAAGAGTATTATTGATCTGTATCACAAAATACTCGTATGCATGCAAAATTACAGGCTCAATCACACACAAATGATAAAATTACTCACAGGTGAATCAAACTAGAAAAGAAAAAACAAAGATTTAGCCAAAAATCCATCAGGTGGCTTTCCTGGATCTTGCTATAAGGATGAAGAGCACGGTATGTGTCTTGTGACTGATAGTGGAGAGGGCAACCGGGTGGCGAGCAATAGTCGACGATGGAATCATGGAAGGATGTAGTGGTGTGGTATAGAGATGAACTCGACGTTGCACAGTAGCAGCCATCCATCATCAAGCAAGCATGAAAAAAAATGCAAAAAACATTCTCGTTCGTGTCAATAGAGATGACGAGCAAAAGAAAAATAGCAAACAACCTCCATCACCAGCGAACTCCACCCTATCCTCTGCGGCCAGCCACATGGAGCACGATGTGCAAACGTAGGACCTGTGCAACCCATCAATTGAGATCAGTTAATATTGTAGATTGCATGTTAATTTAATTTGCAAAAATAAAAAAAATAAAAAAAATTGAGGCTTCATGTGTGAAGTTGAAGGAGAGTATGCAGATGCAAATCAGAGTGCCATTTTCTTACTTGCTTGTTCTATCAATGTCGCCGATGTGGAGCAGCCACTGATTGTTGCTATTGACCCAGGTGAACACCTCCTTGCTGGTTAAGGTGTTGTCCATCGTCCGGCAGCGAGGCCCGAAGCAGTGCCTTCGCCTCAACCACCGCCGGCCACCGCTCGCCGGCCACCACCATCAACCGCCCCGGTGTCGTCGTCCTCCTCCATGGTGCGTCGCCGATCTGTGGGCTGGGATGGTGGATCGATTCAGATCCGAAAAAAAAGGAAAAAGTGAAGTGGAGGCGAGAGTGGTTGCTTGGGTATGGGAAAAATAGAATATATACCGGAAGCAGAGAAGTTGTTTTTATCGAAGTAAATCATTTACTCCGATAATTGTGGGAGTACAATGCGGGACGTGGGGTGGGATCGGAAGCAGGGGAGTTGTTTTTATTATCGAAGTAAATCGTTTACTCGAACAAAGGTGGGTGGTTGAGGCGCGCGATAGGAGTAAATCGTTTACTCTGATAACGGTAGGAGTGGGATGACGGGACGTGGGGTGGGGTGAGCCTGGGCTGATACTTGTGTGGCACTTGGAATATGCGCTCCTAATAGTAGTTATAATAAATTAAAGCATATAATATTGACTTTGATAAATTTAATTGGTTTTTATGTAAACTTGAGTATATTTATTCACATTATTTTTAATCAACCTTATTTTAAATAATATTTACTAGGATCGTGTGAAAATGAATAGTAAAATTAAAATAGTGCGAAAATCAAGATATTAGATGGGATCGTTATTATTTCGGTTTTGTAGGATCATATTATGATAAGATAGTAGCATATGGATATTTTTTCTTTAAGAACTTGTACTCCCTTCGTTCCCTAATATAAGGGATTTTAACATTTTGCTTGCACTATTTTGACCACTCGTCTTATTAAAAAAATTGTGCAAATTTAAAAAAAAAAGTTGTGCTTAAAGTACTTTGGATAATTAAGTAAATCATAAATAAAATAAATAATAATTCTAAAAATTTTAAATAAGATAAATGGCTAAACAGTTTAAGTAAAATGTCAAAAATTTCTTTGTATTATGGGACGGCTTGGCTCTCCTGAGGAAAGTGACGAGCCGGACAACGGGACAAGGTAGAAAAAGCTGCGAGGGACCGGGAGGCAAAGTCACGGGCTCACGGGGATATTACTAGTCAATGGTAGAAGTACTATACTACTCACTGTATTATATTTCTATGGGTACATTGCCCCGGGCCCCGCTAGTGCTGCTGGTCTTGAAAGGAAAAAGGAAAAAAAAAAAAAGCTGTGCTGCGCTGCTGCGGCTACTGGCTGTGCGCGCGCCACCTCGGCTTGAAGTGGGCTCCTCCGTGGCCAAATGCGAGTGTGGCCGATGGTCACAACTTGGCTGTCCGGATTGATTTTCTTCACACATCTGATCTCTAACTGTACTTTTGCTCGTGTGATGTCCAACACAAATACGCAACGCCACATGCAATTTGTTTGTTTAAAGAACTAAACCAGAAATGTTCTTTGCAAAGAAAAGAACATTAAAAAAAACTGCTATCGACTGCTGGATTTGAATGAAAAAAAAAGACCTACCACTTTTGCTAATTAGAATTTTGTAATATTAAACGACCACAAAAGCATAACTATTTTAAGTATTTGCACAAAAAACGACTGTTGGATTCAATGGTATCCTTCAGCTGGACATTTAGGACCCATTAAATCAAAGGATTTGTAGATGAATTTCATAGGATTGATCCTATGAATTTTTTCTATTTGGTCCTTTGATCCAAAGGATTAGAGTTTTTTAAATTATATACAATTTCTATGCAATGGCTCATTGCATGTAGGTTTTGAAGGAAATTTAACTAGAGATCCAATCTCTTGAAAAAATTCCTTTGAATCTATCTCTCTCATCTGATTCCTGCGTTTTTCTTACGGCCCAATCAAGTAATCATTCTCGTATTTTTTCTATGTTTTATAATCCTCTGTTTTACACTTAACATTTCTATCAGAATCTTATGTTTTCCTATTCCTCTATTTTTTATTTCTACGATTCAAAGGGTCCCTTAACCATTTGTCACTCTCAGATTTTTGACGTTTAACCATTCGTCACTTATGTGTGTATAAAACGTGAGCCCTCATAAATCTGACACTGACACGTAGGTTTAGGTGGCAAATGATTAATTGCAGCATCTAAAGAGTGACAAATAGTTATTCCTCCTTCACCAACGTCAGTAGTTTGCAATTTTATTTACAGATGGAATTTAAAATTGCTCTCAAAAGCAAAACTGGTAGTAAGACTATGTACAGATCTCTGGGAACAGAGTAAAGGTTGACTGAGCAACAAGAGTAACAGCACTCCTGACTGGTAAAGTACATTGGATGATAAGAATATTGGCCCAGATTCTGCACAGGACTACAGGAGTACATGTAACGTGTATGATCAAGGCAAACAAAACGCGACAGAGAGAAAATAAAAATAAACAAACAATTTAACCAAAAAGAAACATTAATGATGAAAAAGAAATGGTATGGCAAAAAGAACACACAAAACGATTATGGTGTCTCCACTAGGCGGACGGAGCGTGGAAGCAAAAATTCAGCAAATATGGGAAAATGTGAAGAAGGATAAACACCATCAATATTGTCATTTATGACTTCACAGAGTGCAGGAACCAGTGGACGCCCTCTAAACAGTATCCAGTCAATATGCAAGTCCTGAGTCTGTCGATCCCAGCAGAGACAAAGTGCTCTAAATATTAATTTCAGAAACTCTAGGGCACCTTGTTTCTCCCCTGCAAAGCAAGAACATCCCGCATAAGATTGCTAAAGGAAATACCACTAATAGAAACTTAAGGCCATGGATATAATTAATCTGACATCATAACTGTTATAATTAAAGTGGTTGTCGATTATTCATTGACCAAGAAAAAACATGGTATCACAGATAAAAACACAACACATAGAGCAGTGAGAAATATTCTTTCCGCAAAGAGCAAATCTGCTGAAGTGTACAAGATAATCATACAGCATATGAACTTAAGCTACACATTTATTCATTTATCTGATTTCTAAATTGAGATAAAGAAATGCAGCTTTCTCATGCATTAGTCAGTAAAATTTGGAGATGTAACTTCAAATCTTCAGCCGTAGCTATTTAGTACTTAATATCTTATATGTCCCCATGATTGTGAATACAGAGAGTATGCGCAGGAAGTACCTGCCGACCTGGCTATGATGCTGCTCGCCAGGTGCACATGAAGGGGATGAGAATAAAAGAGAATGGAAGAACAGAATTTACCCCTCCTTGCTTTGAATAATAATTTAGTCCTCCTATGTAGGTCAGTTCTAAGTTCGCACAACCAACCGACCAACTAATGAATAATAACAAACTCCCAATACAGTGTATATAATTTGAGGACTGCTAATAAATATATGAGAGAATGGGACTTGCATGAAAAATTCATGGATCGTTTCTAACAGTAGTACAATACCCTATTTATTTTCGCTCCCTTGGTGCATTTTTGTTATCATCAACACAAGATATCCTCTTTCATCCTTCCAAAGCAACTATGACCTGAGTAATGTCCTACCATAACTTTTATCAATTTCATTACCTCATTAATCCTTGTGCAAAGTCAAAACACACTAATATTAATGAATGGAAAGGGCTATTAAACTTTCTGACAAAGTAATAAATAACTAAAGTGTAATGCCATGGGCATTGATCCAAGGACCAAGGTCAATAACCAAAGAGGCACGCATGAATTAATTCACGCCCACTATTCATGTGCACTATAGTTCACGTGCACTGTTCAGACCAGCTGTTCCTGTGGATGAACAGTTCTGTCCGCAGCAAATTAGGTGCCTGTTTTTGAGAGACGATTAGATTGAGTCCGTTATCTATTTTCTTTATTTTAAAGATAAATTTCTTAAGAGTTAAGTCACCCCGTCTATTGTATCTCTATTCATTTGTTTAGAACAAGAGTGAACTCTTCCCAAGTATGTCGCCCCAACTGTCCTCTCATCCCAACCTGATGCCACCGGCTATACTTTCGGTGGTGTTTACCCCAAATGCATCTCTTCCAATAGCATATAACTTGAAGTCTTCAGGGCAGTTTATTTAGCGGCTGTGGAGCATTCCTCCTCTGCCACAGGCTGTATACGCCTATGTCAGCTTTGCTACTTGGTGTCCACACTACACATATAACACTATCACATCAAGTTTTTCCCTCACTTGGAGTGAATGCCCTTTTTGGTTTTGTAGCAAGAACATGGTAAACTGTAAGTCTGTGACAGCCATAAATTTCTCTCTTCGTAAAATATTACTAGGAAAACCAGTGACCTCAGTGAAGTAAAGGGGATACCTTTAAATCCATGATACGTATGTATGAGTGAAACATTTTTGCGGACACGAGCATTTGGCCAAGCATCTCTCATATCACCCACAACACCATGTTCTCTGTAATGAAACCAGTATGAGATAAGTCAATCAACATAAAGAAAGAGATTGCATCAGTAACACACTAGAATATAAAACACAAATACTCTCAAGAGTAATGTTATTAATAATAACGGGAACTTTTTCCGTGTGAAATATTAAGCAATCCAAACTGACTTTCTTAAAGCCCAAATAAAAACATTATCAGATTTTCATTTCAAAGCCAATTTACACTCTATACTCTCCCCTGGACAAGCAAACATGGGGTGAACCACATTTGCCACTCAACCGTCATACTTTGCAACCACATTTGCTTTAAGGTATATAAATGTTCCATTGGGTTTAATACTTGAGAAATTTCTGAAAGAAAATGTCATTTCAAAAAAGGAGGTGAATATTATATATGTAAATGGAAAAGTTTCATGGTTAAGGTGTACCATCAATATTTATCTTCTTCACGCATCTTCAAAATGATGGACTATTACCTCGTATGGCACATTTCTTAATATTTTCAAAAGTAACCAAAAGTATTCCCAATACTTGTGAATATTTGGAAGACCAAACAATCAAAATTAAACTCGGATTTCAAATCTGAATTATGAAAATTATGAATTATGGATTTCAATGCTATAATATAAGACAATGCATGGAGGCTTCGTTTACAGAGAAAGGAAACTAAAGATCAGTAGTAAATCTAACATAGGACAACCATATCCATCAAGATTTATCACATGACAAGCTAATTTGTTAGTAATTTTCAAAAGGCAGATATGTTTATATTAGAGATTTTGATCCAGAAATTACAAATAAGTTGTGAGAACAGAGAAGGGGGAATCTCAAAATGGGAGATGGAATATTAGCCTTAGCTAATGCTGTAGAAATTCATAGGTGTGATGGATAAGCATAGTTATCTCGTATGGCAAGATAAATATTGTTTCTCAACATAGATGAAACAAGGAGGAAAACAGCACTGACAGTAATTTCATGTAAATTACCATGTTAGTTTCAAGAAAATTTTCACCTTCCAGCAATCTATACCTGGATCTACCGAGCAAAAACCGCCCAGTCATAGACTCCTTCTGTGTGTTGAATCCACCACAATAGATCACTGGTAAATTGGGTGGCAACGATGCTATATGTTGCCACGTTAGCAAAGCACTTCGTCTACGAGCTCGAGGGCTATCTTCATCAAGGTTTGTATTTACAATCTGGAAGCTGAACCCAGGTGGTTCTACTTGTTTGAGTTGAAATGTGTGTACATCATGTTAAGGCAACTACTTTACTTTATTCCAATAAAGACTTAAAGTATGATAGAATAAAATGCCGACAAAAGCATTGCACCAAAGGATATTGCCCATGTAGCAATGCAGGGTGCAGTTGCCCCCCATGAAACGCTTCCAGGCACTGAAGGAGATTCTGACAACCAAAAGGTACCACCTTCTGTAAGCTCCACCTTCATAAAAATAGCATAGATATTCAGCTCATAGAGGAAAAAAACACACTATATTTTAAGAACGTGTCAAAGTGGAAAGAGCTAAATGTTGCACCTTTTCTTTTTCATAGAATATTGTACAATATTCATCAGTGTTATCCTCTGAGCCTTTTCTTGAAATCCCAAATTGCTCATAACCTGTATAAGTTCAACATTCTACAATTAAGCTTCTCCATAGATACAGATCAACATATTGCACAGAATTATACAATGGGAAAATAGTTATCAATTTGTTATTTTAGTAGTGGAAGATTATCAAGTGGATATGAACAGTTACGTGCAAATTTGCAATCAGGAAAACATTTCAGTTTGAGTACCAAATCAACATTTAAAAGGGCCTTGCTTGCCCTTTCAAGAAAAATAGTTATGAAGAAAAGAACAATAGTAGTTACAAACTGCTGAGCACAGATCTGGATTAAACAAAAAACTAGTTAGTTCAATTTTACTGGGTTGCAGGGGTGGAGACAATGTCGGGCTGGCAGTGCCTTGGTTCCAACCATGGATCGTGCAATGTACATAATTAGTATGATGATCAAATAATTAAATTAGTTTACTTATTATGCTGCTGACTTCCCTTGATTTTTTTTTGTTGAATACACAAAAAAGTTGCGTATCATTTCATTAAGAGAAAAAAGGGGTACTGGGAGGGGAGCCCCTCTCCTCACCAAGACCCCCCAGGCTTAGGCCTTTACAAACTTAAGAACCAGAAACCGACCTCATCCCGGTGGAGCTAGCGACCTATCTAAGAACACCTTGAGCCTATTAGCTCCCGCCATGGACCAAAGGATACACTCATTAGCCACTGCTTGAAGAACAGTGGTCACACAAGAATTGACAGCGTTAAAAACACAGTCATTTCTATGTTTCCAAATCTCCCACACTGCTAAAATTATGAGTTCAGCCCCTTCTTAGTGTCTTTGTCCTTGCCTCTTATCGCCCTTGACCACCAGTGCATGAAACTGGTTGAAGCTTGTTGTGGAGCTATACCCCCCAACCCCAGCCTTTGCAAGATTAATAACCAAATCTGCCGGGAGACGACAAATCCAACCAACAAGTGATGGATAGTCTCATCCGCTTGGTCACAAAGCGAACAAGCCGCAGGGTGTGGCAGTCCTCTCATTGCCAAGCAGTCCACTGTCCAGCACCGGTTATTGCTCACTAGCCAAAGGAAAAAGTTGCAGTTCAAAGGCGCCAGTTCTTCCACACTCCTTTCCAAGGAGCATATCTTCCCTTGATAAACTTCTATGTTCACAACTTACAAAAAGCATGTGTTATTAAGAGCTCAAAACTAATGCAATAATCAGTAATCGTTTTACTGTCGTAAGAACAATATAGTATGGTTATGTTTTACTATAAAATATTATCAATTAACAGGAGCTGTTTGCATTATTTCTTTCAAGCTGTCCTGTTTTTCCTTCGTGCAATCATATGACATAAACAAAGATGCTAAATGACAAAAAAAACAGCACCATGCCGCTATGCCAAGCAATTAAAATAAATGGTTGATTAATAAAGATACAATATACTACTAGTTCTTACAAGAAAGTGGCCGAAACCTTGTTAGAACAAAAACGTAAATTTATATGGTTAACCCATAGTCATAAGAATAAGGCTAATCTCTACTATTATAAAAACTAAAGATGTTTCCATCGGAATTTTGGTGCGTCGCCCGTGTTTGAGTTGGTTATACGTCGCCCGTATCCAATTCGACATGAGTTTAAAATAACTGTTATACACCATATCGCCAACCTGTCCTGCGCACCTCCACTAGAAGCCATGCGCACCCCTCCTGATCAGTGTCTTTTTTTCTCTCTTTTTTCTTTTTCTCCTTTTCTTTTCTCCCAATCATCCTGATCCTCTCCCTCTCCTTCCAATCTCCTATTTTTCTCCTCCTTTTCTCTTTCGGTATTTTTAAAAATCTGCTGCCACAATTCATAACTGATTTCAGTCAGATCTAGGACCAGCCATCTCAGGGCTTGCATCCGTACATACGTATTATCACCATCACAGACATCTGTATCCCTTCGCTTCTTACTCTTTTCCCTTTTTTCTCTTTGCTTCTTAGTCAACGTTATTTTGATATATAATCAACGTCGGTAATTAATAATTCGTAGTCGAACACCTCATATACAGTGAATATTAGCATAATTACAATGTATTTTTTAAAAATAATAAAGTAATTGCAATGTAGTTACAGTGTATGTAATTTACATTTGTAAAATTTGTGGCACCACAAATATAGGTAGTCCCTTCTCTTTTTTCCTCCTTTCTTCTCTTCCAAATTTCTCTCATAAATATTTTCCTTTTGAAATTATCATCGTTTAATCTCTACTATTATAAAAATTGAAGATGTTTCTGCCAGAATTTTGGTACGTCATCCGTGTTTGAGTTGGTTGTATCGCCCGTATCCAATATCCCGCCACCCCATCCCACGCGCCTCCACTCGAAGCCCCCCTCATGGTTGTTGTCTGTTTCTCTCTATTTTTTTTCTTTTTCTCCTTATGGAATAGCCACCAAATCGATTTATGAAGCTATGGAAAGGTGTAGGAATTCTTCGTGTGATGATGCATGAAGCGAGCGCAACCGGGTTTAATGCTATATATGATTTCTCAATTTGTTTTGCTATTGTTTTTTTTTTTGTTTTGGTTTGTCATTTAAATTGGCAAAGTTCTTATCAATCGTGAAAATTGCGTTTTCACCTGTTGCAACGCACAGGCATTTTTGCTAGTTTATATAAAATAAGAAAATAAAACTGCCTTCTATATGGTAAGATCGTCTTCTTAACATCCCCAATGTCCAATTCCTGGCTTGCCTTGATAAATTGTTAGTTATGGTTAGAAATGAAGCCTAACAGACTTGCTATGGACCATCAATCAACCTTTGTATTTAAACAAGTAAATATATCTCATCAAAGACAAGTAATGTTAGTCCTATCAATCATATCGATTCTATCTACTAAGGCAACATTTATCAGTTGAGATCAATTGATCTTTGTAGCCACCTGCTACATCGATCGATATTTTCATAGCCATGGCCTGAAACATATATAGTTATATTGTTTGTCCACTGTGATCACTCCAAACGATAGATCTTCACATGGTTACAGTTTCACGTATATCAGTAAAATGCAACGCTGTTCTCTAGTCTTAAATATGTTAGACATGATAGCAGCTGCCAGCAAAAACAAACAATTCAGCTGTGAAAGTACAAGACAACCATGGGTTCATTGTAGGCGTGCCCATCAGCTTTTTTTTTTTTTAGAACTTGCTCATCAGCATTCAGCAATTTGTTAGAATATCTTCTCTTCATAAACAGGTTACAGTTGAAAAGGGGGGGGGGGGGGGGGGGGCAGATTTATTTGGATGTGAAGGTGAAATCAAAGTAACTATTTTTCTCTTAGAGATTCACAAAACTTTTCAAAAGGGTAGTAATGAAGCAAGACCCACGCAAAAACTATGAAAACAATTCATGATGTAGTCTATGGAATAGTGTACCACCAAATAAATCTTAGCTTGAAGCTCAAAATATGTTGCAAAAGGAAAGAATTGATATGCTTGCTTCAAAAGTAGGGTTTGCCTTGTTTTTTTCCTTTGGTCTTTTTGTTTTGAATTAGCATTGTCAAACTTCTCTCATTTTTGTTAACTTCAATTTTATGCATAGGAAGAGTAAACAAAGAACTACATCAAGATTTTTCAAGAATTTTTACCTACTTTCTGTTCATCTGGTTTAAGAGAAAAAAAATATCCTTTTGCGGAAAGAAAAGGCATATATTCAAATGAAATGGATACAGAACCATATTACCACTATAGAATTTTATTCACTCCATCTCACATAACTAAATCAGATAAAGACCAAATTTGTGAGCCCCCTGAATTGTCTCGTTCATTGTTTAGCATCGAAGTTAAGGAAAGACATGAAAAATGCAGTAGACCCAGAACAACACCTAGACACCTGCTAGGCGCACATGGTGTCAATTCTCTCTTGTGCTGTACAAGTATGATTAGGTACAAGGAGTACAAGAGATCAGATTAAAGTTCCTCAGAAGTGTGCCTAAAGTCAATGAGCCCCGTGAGTGAATACATCAAGTTAAAGTGTATTGGGTTTGCACAGGCCTTTGAGTGCCTACTATTGCTAGCAAATGATCTTCACATAAGTCTGAGACTGAGTCCTTCTATATATATTATAGTTCCTCTAGGGCCATGGCAGAATTGCAGAGAAACTTCAGATCCATATAACAAATAATTTCTTCCTTAGCTAGAGTCAGAAAGGTTCCTGTAGAGTGGTAGAATAGATAACTATGTGTGCAAACAAGTAGGCAGACACCCAATGCAACAGGGACGGTGACCACAGGCTCTAGTGGCAGCAGCAAAGGCTCAACAGTTGCCAGGATGGCCACCTTAGGCACCGACAGCACGCCCCGGTCTAGTCGCCACCTAGATGCACCTAGTCTCTAATCAGTGGGTAACCGTCTTACTAGCGACTGGCATCTAGGTGAACACTGGCTAATTGTACAAGGAAATAAGAAATAGCCCATGTTTTATATGCACCAAGACAAGTGTGTCAATCTGTTTTGGTACTAGGTACTTATTCTAATTGTGCAAGCTTGTGGGACTGATCACCGTAATCTTCTACTATATGTTTTAAGTACTAAGATCCTTCTTCTATGGAAGGTCCGTAGGACTTACCACTGTAGTTTTGTAGGCTTGTCTCAGTTCTGTACGGTTTCCTCAAACAAAACAAAGATGCTATTATAAATGTTGTGTGAAACAGTGAAAGTACCTGCGTCTGAAAAAATAGCATAATTTCTGCTTTCCATAAATGGTAGTTTGGGACACCAAACCTCAGGTTTTTAAGCAAGAATCTAAGAAGAATTGATACTTGATACTACCTAGCAGGCCAATAAAATCATCATGTTCACCAAGGCACCAATTCAATTAGTTAAACGTGACACTAGGGACAGTTTACGATCAACATCCCTAAATGGGCATGTGAAACAATTGAGCATATTTATCATAGGACAATAGCTAATTTAGAATGCAACAAAAGAGTAAAATAGCATGGAGGGATCATTACCAGGCAGGCACTGCTGTAGGTAGTCCAGCTGCCACCTCAATCCTGCATGTCAAACAACTTTGCTTAAATCCTAGAACGAACTGATAAGAAATTGAAATAACTAAAAAGGGAGAGAAATGCGATGAACACGAATAGTTGATCAATGTGCGTGCATGACAGTGAAACTCTTAATCCAGAGTTAAGATCAAAATTAAGTAGCCAAGAGTAATTCGGATAAATGAACCAGGCACTTCCTAGCTCCTAGTGACAGTAGTATTGGTGGTCAGTGCATCTCTTGTCAAGAAACCCTTTCTCTCGCAGAGGCATAAAGTCAAGTTCCAGTCCAGTACGTGGTGGATCAAACCCTACTTACATCTAACAACAATGCGCACCAAAGACCACATCTTACTGGACGATCCACCCCAAATCAATTTTCCGAACAAAGCAAAAGCCCAAGCTCCAAGAGTATCGCATCCCCCCCTCCCTCCCTCCTCACCTTGCTGGGTGCAGAGGATGGTGGGGGAGTAGCTGGTGATGACGCTGACGCAGATGTCGCGGCGCCTCTCCCAGCTGTTGGGGCTCTCGCTCGGTTGCTCCCCCTCGTGTAGGTTGAGCGTCATCACCGTAATTGACAGGCTAGTCATCCCCTCCCTATCCTCGCTCCCTCGCCTCCACAGCCAGCTCTACCACCACCAACTACAGCGCCTTTCTCTGCGGCAAGGGTTGTGGTATTGGGGACTCCGAGGGAGGAAGAAGGCGGGCGGCGGTAGCTGGTGCCCGCGGTTGAGCGGTTCCTGTAGGCGGCCGGCGAAGGAGACCACCGGCGATCTGGCGGAATTTGGTCACGATTGGGAGGAAACTAGGAAAGGGAGGGGAAGTCCCAGTGGGCGTCACCACTGACCAGAGTAGATTTGGTTTGGACTTTGGTTTGGACCCACAGCGCGCTCTCTCTCTCTCTCTCTCTCTCTCTCCGTTGCTTTTTCTTTCCCATTTTCTTGCCTATCTTTGTGATAGCGCCTTTCCTTTATTAAAACAAAATAAATTTCACTACGGTTATCATGATTAAGTTCCACAGGTGTTTCTTTCTTTTGGTCAAGTGAGCTACTTAGACTGTGTTCGGCCGCCCCTTTTCCCAACTCCTCTCTCGTTTTTCACGCGCATGTTTTTTAAATTGCTAAACGGTGTGTTTTTTAAAAAAAGTTTCTAAAGGAAAGTTACTTAAAAAATTCAAATTAATCTATTTTTTTAAAAAATAGCTAATACTTAATTAATCACGTGCTAATAAACCGCTCCGTTTTCCGTGCTCACTGTTCTGGATGGGAACGAGCAATGGCGAACACAGCCTTAGTTGCACACAAAACTAGGTTAATTGTTATGGCGATACTAATTTATGTTTTAATATTGAAAGTTGAAAATGGGTTTATTTGATTTTTTGAGTAAATTTCACTTCAGGCCATCACATTTTATTACTTGTGTTTTATTTTGGACCACCATTTAACCAATGTTTTTATTTTGGATCGGTCTTATCTTTGTTTCACTATAAACCGCCTCGATTCTCTTTTCGTATATGATTTTGACTATGCTCGGCAATAAACTCTTGACTATGCTTGGCAATAAACTCTTATAGCTATATGTAAAATCATTTCTTTGACCTATAACAACTTGATAAGTTAGATATAGATGGATAAAAGAGTTGAGGGTGGTACAAAGAGTAACAAAGGTAACAATATCCCGTTCAAAGTAAAAACATTGTTTAAAAAATGGTTCAAAGTGAAACGCCGGTGGTAATAAACTCTTATATAGATTATTTTAAAAAAATTAGTTTGAAAAGCATGCATGCAATAATCCATGGAAGTAGTCATATCAAATCTTAGAAAGAACGAGGCTAAATGTCATATAGCCCGGAGTATCATAGCTCGATAGTTTTACTAGTATTTACCAATTATTGTTAATTTGTTCCATCGTATTTGTATGTTCCAAAATTACATCTCAAAATTTATTTGCAAGTAATCACATGAGACAAAACTGGATAATAAAATATGCCTAACTTATTTTGAGATTAACCTAGTTTTGTGATTACTTGCAAGTAATCGCATGACACAAAACTAAAACTGTTCCTAGGTTAATTTATTTTTATATTTAATGTGCCATATGTTCAAAGATTTGATGTGACGTTTTTGGAACTAAACCGGGCCTTGGACCACAGTACCCAGGTTTCACTGAAACGTACTCTTTAAAAGAAAAACTAAAAGGTCATCGTTTCCACGCTCTAGATATCTGAAATATTGTTTCAGCCATTAGTTGCTAGTTCAGCCTTCCACCAAACTAACAAAATTATAGTGGGGTAATTATAGAACACGGCTAGAATTAGACTTCTAATATTGCGCCGTGATAACTTAAAACAAACCGACCATTGATGAAAAAAGAAAATTCATTTCTTCTCCTAAGTGTTAATCATTTTTTTTATTTTCTCTTATAGATCATGTCCTAAAATGTTCATATAAGTTATGGTGTGGGTCTATGTAAATTTAGATTGATAAATTGAAATTACCAGTTTAAGTACTATCGTGTGAGTGGCTTCGCTCTTATTTCTAGCAGTGACAATTAATTTCCCCGTGGGGGCCAGGGACCCGGCTTGTACCCACCCTTACTGATGCAGATCTACCTATCAAAAGTTCATTGTTCTTTACTTGCAGATCAAAACATAAGGTGAACTCGTTTCTCTCTAAGTCTATGCGTGAAATATATGAGAATTTGATGCTATATTTTGCACCTGATTACTTTCAGACATGAGAGATTTGGACCATTGGCTGGCATAAACAACATGGGGGTCCAGCCGGAGGTGACGGGTGTAGTGGCGCACATGTGGAAGATCGGATGCTATTCTGTTCGTAAAGTTCATGGCGAATTCTGCATTGATGAGAAGGCTTTCAACATGAATGGCTTATATATTAGGAAAGGTTATCAAGTCTACTTTCCATCGAATCAAACGACATGTCATTCCGAGCTTTCTATCAACGACAATTGCAAGTTGAAGACATCTTGTGTGGGCAGACCGAGTGTCGCGCAAGTAACAACAATGGTGATGAGCGTCGGCTTTGCACGGCACGGTTGGATGGAGTTATACTATCCTATGGCCCATCTTGGGTTGGGAAGGAGTCCATCTATTATTTCTCCACGGATTGAAGCCTTCCAAAAACATGAGTTTCAAGATAAGAAAGAAAAGATTCAGTTCGGACTCGGTTTGGGCCAGCCTGGACATACATGGACTTAAACGCTTGTTTCTCTCTTGTCCGGAGTCCGTTTTGGACGTGTGAGCACTCGTTGGAAAGATAACTTCATGGCCCACGTGGTGGATAGGGCCCAGGACACAAATTCTTTCTGGTTTCACCGCAAGAGCTGAAACAAATTGACGGTGCTGCAGAGAAGTTTCCATATTGTGTTGTATTTGATTCTTAGTTAGTTTATAACCCATGTAATGACTATATATACCTTTGTGCACGATCCATGAGGGGGACCACATTTATTCTAATGAAAATTGCAGCAAATTTGCTCTTGTTCTTCTCCTAGGTTTTGTGCCGCCGCCGCCAAACTAGAGAGAGGGACTGGGAGTTCTGCCATAGATTGTTCTTACTTTTCCTTGCAGGGAATTGAGAGGGCAATAGATCTACTTTTGCGTGGTCAAGTGGATCAACCTATCAAAGCGTGTGGTTTTGCGAATTCGTGGTGAAAGGTGCGTTGCACGGGCAGCGAGTTGTTCATCCAGTTCGTGAGGTTTTACGGTGTACCCGGATCCTACGTTGAGAAGGTCGGGCTTCCCCCCACCCCCCCCCCCCCCCGTATCACTTAAGTGGCCGGGGACGGGTTGAAATTCTCACCCGCTGGTGAGCAGGGACGGGGATTCAAAACTACCCGCGGTGACCCGGCAGGGCCCCGAAGTATGATCTACTGCTGCAAAAGTAGCACATTTCAAAAATATAGGCCCAACTAGCCCACATATAAAACCTAACCCTAATCTCTCCACTCTCTCCTCACCCAACCTACTCCCCCCACCCCAGCCGCCACTATTAGAATTCACCAAGGTCCATATAGCCAAATACCCTAGGGAAAATCCAAAATACTCTAGGGAACCCATTGAATTCTAGTAGTGTGCCGCCCCCATCCCTCCCATCTCCCATGCCATCAGCCGCCTCATCTCCGTGCACGCTCTCCATCCGCCGCCTTGCCCCTACACCGCCGCACCCCCCCTCCTCGTCTGCCACCCCATCCATGCACCCTCTCTCTGCCCGCCTCATCTCCTCGCCGGTCGTTGTCGAGCCACTCGCCATCCACCTTCTCGTCCGCGCGCTCCTCCTCGTCAGTCGTCGCTGAGCCACTCGCCGTCCGCCGCCTCATCTGCGCGCCCCTCCTCGACGGTCATCGCCGCCCCCCTCGCCGTCCACCGCCTCGTCCGCCCCCCTCACCATCCGCCTCGTCCTCGCGCCCCTCGTCGCCTCATCGGTCGTCACCGAGCCACTCGTCGCTGCTTGAGTAGCAAGGGGTTGTTTATCAAAGATATCTAACCATATCATGCATTTTGTGGCTAAGTTGTCAAAGTTGTGGAGTTGTGGCCAAGAAAATTGAAACCACTCTTTAACCTCCTTGCGACTGACTATAGTCTATGAATTGTTAGGCCAAGATGAATACAAGTTTGGCATAACTAACTTGTGGGTAAGAACCAAACATTACAAACATATATACGAAACGTGTGGTTAAATACGGTATACTTTGGTAGTAATCAAACAGCCCTTAAACTTAGTACATCAACTCTATCTGAAAAATATTGGACAATGACACCATGCCCATATATGTTGGTCTTCAGAGTCAAGAAATCCTGTAAATCAAATTTTTGAAAACAAAAATTTGGAGGTAGTTCTTGTTCTTCGAAGCGAAAACCCTTCTTTGATTGCAATTTCCTCAGAGGGGGTTTAGTCATGTAGTATCAACATTCTCATTCAACATATGTAATTCCAATACTACCGTGTTCTTTGCTCGAGCAATAATTAATATTTTTGATGTTGTTGGACTTTGGTCACAATCTGAATTTTGTTGAACCTTTTCTTGAAAGAAATAGACAATTCCATTAATTAGGTAGCCCAGTTGAATCGCTAGCTACCAAATTACAAACAACACATGGAAATTCTTCAAGCCAAACAAAATGGCTTCGTAGACCCAGAGAAGCGTCAATTTTAGCAAGCTCATGCACAGCACGATTACATTCTATAGGACAATACATTCTATAGGACAATACATTCTCTAGGATAATAAATAACTTGATGGACATCAAAATTTGCTGTAAGCATAAATTTGGCTTTTCAAGTGATAGCAGCGTTAGACTCATGTCCTGCGTTATATCCAACAGAGCCACTTTCAGTTCTTGAGCATCAGTTTCAAATATAATGTGGTCCATTCCCATATCGTTAGCTATTTTCAGAGTTTGATGCATGCTAAAGCTTTTGCTTGGTTAACATTTTGCAAATTCTGTAATTTCCAGCAGCCATCATGAGGGGACATCCATCTGTATCTCTGGCCACTACACCCCAACCGTCTTCTTATATACTCTCTGTTCTAAAAAAAACTCAGCCACCCCTCATAGAACAACAAATCTGGACAGCCACATCCCCTTCTAGGTTAATTTTTTTTTTGGCCGGAGGGAGTATGTTGCAATATTTATGTACGTGGTCGCAAGCCTGGGTACCCCGCAAGCTTCAGCTGGCTGGGTCGAAACAGGTAGCACAATCCGTATTCTAGGCCGACAAAAACGCGACAGCGGTTGCAATGACCCCATGACCCATTTTCATGCAAAGAGGGAATCAAAATATTAAATCCTTGAAGAGTTTCATACTTCATAGCAGGTATCTACTAACAGTTTTAAAGGAGTATCTTAAAAACCTACCCAAGTTTTTTGAGGGAAAAAAATCAGATATAACTAGAATATAATTGTGCAATTACATTGTAGATATACTGTGAAATTTTCTTTATAGTATTTTTCCCCCTTCATGCACAAATCTCAAGGTGATCCTATGGTCACAAATCTAAAAGTTTTGGGAGCAAAAAACTTACGAAAGAGTTTTCTAGCAATTCCGTTTAAATAACACGAAGAACATTGAGATTTCAACTTTCACGAATTCAGTTAGGGTCGGCCTGATCACAGACACACTAAATACATGTCTTTGACTGCAATCCAGCACAAACAAAGTGATAAAGTAACTATAATATTTGGCAGAGCTCATGTAAAATACCATCTACCAATGGATTCCACTAACTGGCCAGTAACGTAATATCACGCCATTACTGTTTCAAGTTTCAGCCTCAGTTGATGTTTTGGCAAAGAAAACAAGAAAGTGAGGTGTAATTCAAAGGCGATGATCTTCAAAGGAGCAATAAAGCTCTCCCACGACCAGCTAACCAACTGATCACAAAATATGCACACTTGGCAACAGAATCTGCTTGTACCATTGACCAGCTCGTTTCAAAAGTCAAACTGCATCTGCAAAATGATTTTACTTCCTTCCATTGCCCGTAAAGAGCTTCTGGCCCCCTCCATTTTTCCAAACACCTCGCATAGGCAACCCTACCTGTGGGCCTTGCGATTCCCTTTCTGGTCGTTCAGGGCTCATGGTAGGACGACTCAAATCAAGTGTAGCTAAGGAGTTATCACCTAATCGGGCTCTGAGAAACTTTGATGTCTTCTTTGATTGTTTGTTGATGTTGCTGTTGCTGCTACCTCCTCCCTTGCCTACATCATCTTTGGCACAAGAAGCCATTGAAATGGCACCATGATCACCATCTAGACATGGTGTACTAGATGATGAACCTCCAGTTATTAGTTGGGCCTTTCCCTTGGAAGATCGATACCCATCCCTTGACAGCACCTCAGCCTCTCCTTCCTGAGTCTTGTTTAACTGAAGCTTCCTTACAGTGTCCAGGAAGCTATCTGCTAGTGAATCCTTCATATCCTTAGCAGGAGCAGCACTAGTTTCTGTAACATCATGAGATTTTCCCTTGCCCTTTTTCTTGCGGCCACCCTCCTTTGAGGTAATGGTTAAACCATCACTGTTCTCTTGGAGGCTTCTGAAGCGTATATTGGTGTGATAGGCATCAGCAAGTTCTTTCTGCTTCTGAGGATCAGGTAACAGCCTAGCCATTTCAGGCACAAGGTGTGACAGACCAAATTGCTCAACATATGAAAGATATTCTGAAGTACCAATGATGCCTTGACGGTATTCACCAGCGATTTCTTTAAATGCAGAGTACCTATCTTCATCCATGCCTAAAGCACTGCGCATTCTTTCAACCAGGGTCTTATTGGCAGCACGAACATCATCAGCAGCAGGCAATGTTTGGCTGCTTTGTGGTGGCTGTTGTTTTTTATTGCCACCGTTAGATGTACTTAGTGCCTGAACAGAGGACCCACCAGACATAAGATTAGGAGTAGAAACAGAGTGCTTCATCCTGTTTGAAGCTCCACCTCCAGGATTCCATGCCGAGTCGGCAGATGACATAATCCCATTTTCTCTTACAATTCGAAGCTGGGAAGAACTAGAATGAAGCAGCCCCTGATCAGGTGTAGGCCACATCTGTGGGGAACTAGAAACAGGAGGGACTGATTCAGGATTTTCAGATGGGCGAGGCCGGGCAGAATGAAGTACTTTCACACTGCCCTTGCTACGCTGCTGAAGCCTTGATGCAAGTGTGTTCTTCGCTAGACTTTGTAGCCCCTGTTGAGTTGAAGTAGAACCCCTGTTGCTACTTGACCCAGGTAGTGGAGGGAATAATAACTCATCCCCAAGCTTGGCAGCAAGGGAACTCTGACTAAGAGCATGAGCATATCTGGTTTGCTGCTCTGAGAGGGAAGGGAATGAGGTTTCATCAGGAGCAGAGTCCATCCTTGCATCAGGAATATCCTGGTCTTGAAGAGGAGGAAAGGACAAGTGTTCAAACACACGTCCATTGCCTGAGCTTTGGCCAGATTCTCCTCGCCCAGAACTAGAACTGACACTCACAGACCCTGTAACATTATCAACTCGACTTGGAAAACCGTTGCCTATAATTGCACTGCCATTTTGCATAGAGGGGGTATCCCGGTCAGATCCATCACGGTGAGAATTCCGTCCCCTACCTCTACCACGCCTTTCATCTTGCTCGTTTCTTCGATATATAAAGCTGGTTGGTATCTGACAAAGCCAAACAGAAAAATTAGCTCAAAGAAAATTCCAGTATTAGTACAAACAAGACAGGTGAGCAGGATAAAAGGGAAACCTTAGGCACAAGAATGAGAAATTCTAAGACTAATACATACCTGAAGTGCGGCATTCCTCTGAGCACGAGACATCCGCCCACCATGCTCCATAGCATTATGTCTCTGGAGAAATAAACAAGCCAAGAAATATGAAAATAAGTAACCTAGCATCTAATGCAGTAACAGAGCAGCTAATACAACTAACTGAAATATACTTGCCTTGAGCTCTGCTTCGCTCTGGAAGACTACAAACTTCTTCGCCAAACATGCTTCATCTTCACAGAGGAAATGATCTTTACGGAAATGCAACTGAATTGAATTAATAAAACATACATTAGGATGCTACCAAAAGCTTGCAGAACAGAGTAAATGAAAAAAAAAACATCTTCGAACAAAGGCAACATATCCATTTGTGCCAACAAACCTCCAAGTCATCATAATTCCGGAAATAATCATACTGCCCAGGATGTTGCCTGCAACCAATGACCAATCGTAAGTTAGAATATCACATAGCGTGTTAGTACAATTTAGCTAAGGGTAATGAGGTACATGATGATACCTTTGACATATGTGACATGAATAGTGTTCTCGGGACATATGTGTGTAAAGCTCGTTATCTCCATAAAATGAACTTCTGCAGAACTCGCACATAGGATGTCCTGCAAAACCACTGCGCTCAACCTCAGAGCCATCCACCTCAGAGTCACCAGTTTTTACATGCTGATTTAACTGTGTCCTTGTATAAAGCTTCTGTTCACAAATGAACACCTGGCCAACAACACATCAACTAGTCAAACAAACTACCATCAAGTCTCAGTTAGTTAAAAGTGTAGTAAAATAGCCCCTATGTTATCAAGATAACAATATGCGTGTGGGCAAAATAGATAATTTATTATAGTTGGAGGGTGTTAACGTAAAGCTTTTCATTTCTACCTTCCCAGTGGGTTGAAAATGCACATTACAAAATCAATCTCAGCTTCAAACATACAGACATCAGCTTCAGTTACTTTCACTTCAAATAGCATGGTCTGTGTCCCCAATATTATATTACTACATTAATACTGTATCCAACATAACTGATATAAATTGGTTTTAATTAAATACTTCTAGGTTAGTAAACCAAATTATTCATACAGATAAAAAATGCTCAAGTGGAATGGTTTGCATTGGACCAGTATTCAAGAAATCAGTTCCGAGCACAACCTAGACACCACTGAGATCGGTCAGCACCCTGGTGGACTAGCCGAGTTGACAAAAGCTGGCCACCAGTCTATGAGGTCATGCATACAATTCCATAAGCACATTACATTTTAAAGCAATGAGAATATGCAGTAACTGTGACGATGGGGAACTGGCACTGGGCTATGTAGCATGTAGCCACAATTAAACATAGACTAACTACTCTAAATGTTACCATCCTCATGAGAAAGTATCTCTGCTTCAATTTCTTTAGTTTGCAAGAATTTCAATTCCATTTCCCCCCAAAAAAAGTCAACTCATCACACAAAGCAAAAGCAACACTTTATGGAAAGCAAAAGATCTTTCACCAAGTACTTATAGATTTCTCCGATCTTTTACATATTTACATATGGCATACATAGTAAAAGCAGTGATATCAACAATAGTCAAGATTACTTAATTACTACTACCATCATCCTAAATAAGTGCATTTAGCACATGGCAGACAAATCACTAGGAAGATAAATGACATATAAGCCCCCAATTAAATGAGTCATGGTTAGAAGTGGGAGGGTAGTTGGGGGTAAAATAGGTAGAAAATTGAATGGGAAGTGATGGATGGGATAAGCTTACTCTAGGGGTGCACTTATTTTGGTATAAAATTTGGGTGCTAGAAGTGCACTTATTTAGGGACAGAGGTAGTACCTACTAGGCTCACACAATGAGCAAAGCATGTCCACATAAGTAGCTAGATCATTCCCCATGACAGTCTCTTAAGACTTCATGCTGATTTTATTTTTAAAATGCAGGAAACAATCAAACCAACAGTGACTATTTAAGGAGAAAAGAGCACATTGTTGTCAAGAATGTCACCTTTCTCCCCTCCAAGCAAAGACTGCACATGTATAACCTATGTTGATGGAACAAATGTCCCTTCAGCTGTTCAATGCTCCTGAACTTGCTTTTGCGCCTTACTTGTGCTGCCTGGCCAGCCTGATCTTCAGCTTTGTCACACACACTACAAGAAAGCCGACACATTGCTCGTATCATCTTGTAGTGCTCAGCATCGTCAAAAAATGCCTGGCTATCCTCATGGTACCAGTACTCCCCCACCTTTCCCTCAGTTGCCACAGGGGGGAAAATATTGAAATCATTTATCACTTTTGTGTAATCGCCCATAGCCTGTTGAATGATCAAAGATGAATGAGCCATAATTAAAATTTTAAATTCATATGAAGACTGCACATGCAATCCTTTAGCTATACAATGACTTCAGTCTAATTTTATTATAAAAAAAAACAGAGAAAGTAACCAATGAGTTACACAATCAGCCATCGATTAAATAGCAAAGGAAATTCATAGTGAAAACATAAAACATTAAAGGAACACTTGCACATTTTTTTTCTGCTTGTCTTTGCACTAATAAAACACAACAGAAAAAATGCTGATAACTCAGATAGGGAAGCCTAACAAACTCACATTAATAAAGCTCGATAAAAAAATTTCTAGCTCAGTCATAAGCCTAAATATCATAATCGGTCACACTAAGTGTAAGAATAATAGTAGCTTGCAATGCCATGTATCAAAAAAGGAAGTACAGGAACCATGGCATCCCATTATTAACACCTGAACTCAAATTGCCGACCCCTAATCGCTTGACAAAACAAATTTCTGATTAAATAAATTTGTGCTGATTAAACTCATTGTCTTCTTCTCAGTAGCATTAGGTTTTTAGCTGAAATCCCAACTCCCTAGGAACCAATTCATACAATAAGCTAAGTTCACATAATTAGCCAACAACATTAGTTCGTGAAATCGAACAAATTTTCACCACCATAAAACCATACAATTTCACGAGCAAGAGCCCCATATTTCAAGCCCATCGAAACCCTAACCAGCCGACGACCCAAGATCCACCGACGCTCCCGACGGCACAGATCAAACAACCTGGCCGGGGCGGAGGAAACCCTAGCGACGATACGAACCTTGGTGACGAATACGGAGGAGCACTCGGTCTTGCAGATGCAGCAGTGCTTGTCGCCCATCACGAAGCGGAGGCGAACGACGCAGGTCGAGCAAACCTCGCGGTGGCCGCAGGCCCCGTAGGCCACCCACTCCAGCGCGTCCGCGCACACCGCGCAGCTGTCGTCCATCTCCGCGGGCGGGCGGGGGAGATCGGTAGCGGCGAAGGGACGGAGGGGGCGGAGCGGCGGTGGCGGCGGCGGAGGAGAAGAGGAAGGGTTAGGGCGGTGAGGGAGGCGAGAAGGTTCGAGACGACGAGACAGTTTTTCCTTTTTCTCTCTCTCTCCGCTTATCCCCCCACCCTTGTCGTCGCGTCCTTGTGTTGGCGGCCCGCACGGCGGAACGGTTCGTCTGCTCTTGGGTTTTTATCGTGCTTTTTACTCGGAGACTCGTTGCCTTCCTGGACCCTTCGAATGCCTTGAGTACCAAGGTTTATTATCATAGACATTTTCCTTTCTTTTTTCTTCTTCAGTGGCATAGGGCTTGTTTAGTTGGAAAAAAAATTTTCCCAAGGTGTCACACCGATATATGGAAATATATTTGAAGTATTAAACGTAGTCTAATAACAAAACAAATTACAGATTCCGCCAGAAAACTGCGAGATGAATTTATTAAGCCTAATTAATCCGTCATTAGCAAAGTATACTGTAGCACCACATTATCAAATCATAGTGCAATTAGACTTAAAAGGTTCGTCTCGCAATTTCCTGGCGTACTGTGTAATTAGTTTTTCTTCTACATTTAATACTCCATGCATATGTCCAAACATTCGACGTGACAACATAAAAAAAAACTAAACTAGCATCCAAGCGATCACACTGCCGAAATCGCTACTGTGCGGCTATCCCCCGCGCGTCGCAGTCGTCACATAGCGTGCGCGGAGAGAGGGGATGGTAGGAGCGCGCGGGGAGAGAGGCATGCAGCGGTTTTCCAGTTTTTTCTGGTTTTTTTGGTTTTTTTCTATACAAAGTTTATATACATGTTTTTTTTCGGTTTTTCTCATGGTTTTCCTTTTTTATTGTATACGTCTACAAACTTTGTGTGTACATATGTGTATAATATATTTTTTATATGTCAAAAGTGTATATGTAATATACGCGTAAACTTTATATACATGTATACAAAATTTATACGTATGTAGTCTATAGTATATGTATATACGTGTAGAGAGGAGAGAGGAGAGAGTAGAGGGGGTCAAAATGACCGCACGAGCGCAGCCTTGCACAGCTGGTCGCCCATCAGCCCCCCCCCCCCCCCTCCCCACAACACACATACTGCTACCTAGATGCAGTGATATGTACGAATGCAAACGGCTTGGAAACAGACAGAAACCAACTTTACCATTTTCGTTTTTAAGTCCAAATCGAAATCAAATATTATCGAATAAGATAATAGATATTCATTAGAATTTAAAAACCCCAAACTAAACTTCTCAAATCAACGAAGAGCTTAAATCAATGTAGCTCTGAAACGAATGGAAACCACCTTTAATGTTTTCGTTATCATTTTTTTAAAATCGAATTCGGAATCGGAAACCCCTGATATGAAAACGAAATCGAATGTCATCGAATAAAAAACAAAGCGAATACGGCAACATATATTATTGGAATTTAAAATCTCCTGAACTAAACTTCTCAAATCACCGAATAGATGTAGCTCATTATTTTTCCTAAAACAATAAATCGACATTTCTATTTTAAGTAAATTTCACTTTGGGTCATCTTTTCTTATCATTGTTTTGCTTTTGACCACACTTTAACAAATGTTTTCACTTTGAACCAGATAAATTTACCTTTGTGGCACTTTTGACCACCCTCAACTATTTTATTTATCTTCATCACCTTGTCATATGTCAAAGTAATAGTCTAAATATAGAGGAGTTTCATCGACAAGTAAGTCGGCATACTCAAAACCCATTTATAAGGGTTAAGCTTAATCACAAAATAACAGTGCCTTTCGCTAAGCAGAGATACTCGATTAACTCCGCACGGCTAAGGCCCGGTTTAGTTGTTATTTTTTTTTGTTTTGGGATGTCACATCGGATATATGGACACACATTTAAAGTATTAAATGTTGTCTAATAACAAAACAAATTCCAGATTTTGCCTGAAAACTGCGAGACGGATTTATTAAACCTAATTAATCCATCATTAGCAAATGTTTACTGTAGCACCACATTGTCAAATCAGGACGCAATTAGGCTTAAAAGATTCGTCTCGTAATTTACACGTAATCTGTGTAATTGGTTTTTTTCCTACATTTAGGGTGTGTTTAGTTCGTGAAAAGAATATTTTTAGGCACATCGGATGTTTGATCGGATATATGAAGGGGTTTCGTACACGAATGAAAAACTAATTTTATAGCTCGCCTGGAAACCGCGAGACGAATTTATTAAGCCTAATTAATCCGTCATTAGCGCATGTAAGTTACATTAGCACTGACGGCTAATCGTGGACTAATTAGGCTCAAAAGATTCGTCTCGTGATTTTCTATACAAACTGTGCAATTAGTTTTTTATCTATATTTAATGCTCCACGCATGTATCTAAAGATTTAGAGAAAATTCCGTATGTACCCTTGAAACTTCACCCAATCCCTTTTATGCCCCTAAGATTTGCTCATTCCCTTCCATACCCCTAAATTTCAATTTGGATCACTTCTATACCCCTTCCATCAGTTGATTAGTTGATTGTTAGTTGACCGTTAAATTTTTATCATAAAATCCATTTTGCCCTTGGTATCAAGAAAATATAAATATATGAAGTATATTGATGAAGTGTATAAATTTATTGTATACAACTATTACATGTATGAGTTTATTTTAGTTTCGCCTCGCGAAGGGAAAACAAAAATAATTTTTATCTATGACAAAATTTATTTTAGATAAAACAAAAAGTATTTTTACCATTAAAAACTGTATATATAGCAAATTTTGTTATAGTAGCACGCAATTTTTTAATAAGATAAATCTTGTTATGCGAGATAAAAATTGTTTTTTTTTAAATAATATCTCACAAAATAAACTCATAAATATAATAGTCGCATACAATAAATTTATACACACCATCAATATACTTCATAAATTTATATTTTCTTGATACCAAAGGGTAAAATGGACTTTATGATATGAATTTAACAGTCAACTGACGGAAGGGGTATAGAAGGGATCCAAACCGAAATTTAGGGATATGGAAGGGAATGAGCAAATCTCAAGGGGTATAAAAGGGATTATGCGAACTTTCAGGGGTACATAGGGAATTTTCTCAAAGATTTAAGGTGACGTTTTTAGGAAAAAAAATAGGAACTAAATAAGGCCTTAATAATTCATGTATCTGTCCAAATATTCGATGGGACGGGCCTACGGCTCGGGCGACCGATCCGTTTGGAGCAAAATCAGGTGTTGACATCAGCGCCCGATTTACGTGAAAAACTACTTTAAACTGATTTTTCTTCTAAATTACTTATCCAAATCATGATTCGATTGCACCATTAAATTCATTGTAATTAAATCTTCAAAACAAGACCACACATGGATATATTTCTACGAAAAAATTTAGCTTATTATTAAATTATTTTTAAATGTTGCACGATGTTTCACTAGGTATATCGGAATTGTTTCATAAAGTAGATCGAAAATGTTTCACTCGTTTAAATCGGGTGTTGTTTCACCTTATATAAAAACAATGTTTCAACAAATAGCGAAAGAATGTTTCAGTTTACTGCAACATTAGATCTATACATAGTGAAACATTGTGAGTACACTACGTGAAACGTTTTTCGGTGGAAAAAAAACAAATTTCCTTAATAGGGGGTTTTCAAAATATGTGGGTTTTTTTGTTGCAATGGAATGTTTCATTCACTGCAACATTATATCTATAGATAGTGAAACATTATGAGTACACTAGGTGAAACATTTTTATAGAACAAAAAATAAACCAAATTCTCTTAATAGAGAGTTTCTAAAATATGTGGGTTTTTTTATTACAAAAGAATATTTTAATTCACCGTAACATTAGATATATAAAAAGTGAAACATTGTAAGTACACTAGATGAAACATCTTTTGTGGAAAAAAGAAGGGAAAAAAAAAGAAGGGAAAAATAGATGGACCCAATAGTTACGTAACATTATATCTATAAAAAGTAAAACATTGTAAGTACACTAGATAAAACATCTTTTATGGAAAAAAGAGGGAGAAATGAATGGACCCAATAGTACGGAGGGGAGGGGAGCGCCCGAGCCGGCTCCTCTGCGCCGATCGCTCGACCGTAAGTATTTTCGTATTCTATGTGGTGAAAATTTCTCATTTGGGAAACGGGGCGGTCCTTCGGCACATGTTGTCTGTACCCCCTCTTGGTGCCGTGTGCCCGTGTGACAGTGTCTCCCCACGCATCGGCTGGAGAATTGGATATGCTGGGTTTAGCACCACTCCGGTTTGTTTCTCCCCCTCCTCGCGGCGCCGCCGCCGTTTCCGCCGCCGCTATCGGCGGACATAGTATCTCGGTAAAGTGTCCTTCTCCTTCTACACTCCCTTCTCTCCATCCAGATCTAACGTGAAGAGGGTCTCAGCTCGGGGATGGCTGCCATTGCGCGGTGCCGCCGCCGGGGGAGAAGGACGCCGACAAGGCGCGGGCGGAGACGACGGAGGGAGCGTCGTACAAGTGGCGTATGGTGATCGCCTACGACGGGACCAAGTTCAAAGGTTCTTGGTCTCCTCCTGCGCAGTTATATTTCTCGTTTTTAGGGTGGTGATGGATGATTTGGAACTTTTGGATGCTTCCCAAAAGCTTCCTGCATTGAGTAATGGGGGAGGAGAAATAGGTTTCGTTGTTCTCCATGAAAACACGCTAAAATCTGTTAAAAAAAATTCATTCGGAAGGGTGTGATTTTGGGTTGTTTAGGGCAGGGTGACGCTTGAGATCTTATCACATTGAAAAACCCCAGAAAAAAAATGGTACTCCTTTTTCAGGATCTTATACCTGATAGGTATATAAACAAAGGTTTTCGGTACACAGGGAAAACTTTTGGAGAACTGATGACTGCACATGGTTGACTGCACAATGTTCACTTCTAGTTTATATCCTCTTTGGATTCGATTGAGTTTGGATCTTCTTCTACATGCGCTGTCCATTCCAAACTTATCTCATTTATATCCTCTTTGGATTCGATTTATACCTAATTTATTGCAAAACCTAAGTTCGGATTTCCTCCTGTTCTATTATGTCCTGTTTATATGGTCATGTGTTGCCACTGTTCTGGAGTTCTGAAGAGGTAGCGGATGTATCATCATCATCTCTTGTAAGCATATTTCCTTTTGAATAACCAACTGGAGATCTGCTATTCTGACATGTTTCCGTCGAAGCAAGTTCGTAATTATCTAACACAGCAATCTGCATTCCTTTGTTTAACTGAGTATATAACTTTTTGTACGGCTTTTCCTTGTCGTAGGCCATCAGTTATGTTATACTTCACTTATCATCCATCTATTATATAAACTACCTTGTTGACATTATGTGTGAACATCACTGAGACTGTGATCAGAACTTCAGAATTTTGAAATCTCAATAATCTAACTACAATCATGTTTCAGGTTGGCAGTATCAACCATCGCCTCCAACCATACAATGTAGTATTGAGAATGCGCTAACACGCATCACAAAGCTGGATCGCAAGGAGCTCTGCTTGGTTGGAGCTGGCAGAACAGATACAGGTGTTCATGCATGGGGTCAGGTTCAATTATCTTAACATATCTGTAAATAAGTGTTCAAGTTGAGATATATAGTCCCACTTATATCTTGCACCGCTTGTTCTGGTGTTTTGTAATTTTTGTTTTATATGGAGGGGTAACACATCATATTTTGTATCTAGGTGGCGCATTTCACCACGCCTTTTTCCTACCATTGTCTTGATAGCATGCACTCTGCAATCAATGGGCTTCTTCCACATGAGATTCGAGTGAGGGAAATTAGTGCAGCAAAGCCTGAATTTCATGCCCGGACATCCACAAGGAGCAAAATTTATCATTACAAGATTTATAATGGACCAGTCATGGATCCCTTTCATAATCATTATGCATACCATAGTGCGTATAAGCTTAATTCACAAGCTATGCGGGAGGCTGCAAAGCATTTTGTTGGAACACATGACTTTACATCTTTCGCTAATGCAGTACACAATGATCGTGTACGCAGTCCCATAAAGAAGATAATGCGCTTTGATGTTATTGAAATGGTAATTGAAGCTCGCAGTTCTTAGTTTTGCCTTTTCACCCTGACAATGCAGCATTAAGGCCCTCTTTGTTTAGGCTTATAAGCCAACTTATAAGCCGAAAAGTCTAAGACTAAACAAACAAGCGGCTTTTTCGTTTGGCTTTTTTGAAGCCATAAGCCACTCTAACACTATTAAGCCAAAAGCTAGGTTGGAGAAGCTTTTTTGGCTTATGTGAGGTAGATGTATGACTCCACCATTAAACTTAGGACATTAAATCCACCGGCTTATAAATCATATAAGCCAATAAGCTGACTTAAAAGTCTAAGCCAATAAGCCTAAGCCTAAACAAAGAGGGCCTAAGTGTTGTTTTCCTTTCTTGTGTGGTCATTCAGTTGACCAGACATTAAGTACCATTGAATTGACCTGATATTTTTTTCCCTTGTGCCACACAGGGTGCTATCTTACAGCTTGAGATTGAAGGCACTGGCTTTCTGTACAGACAAGTTAGGAACATGGTAATTTTGTTCTCACTTCAATAAATTCATGTGTGGACTTTAATTTCGTAACATCTTACATATTCTGACCATATGAGGGTAGAAATGGTCCTAAATAATATTGGAACAAACTCTCTGAGTTATGGATGCATCTGATAAAAAAATACCATCTTGCAGAACTGTTCGTATTTTTTTTTATTTTGTCTTTGATAACTAGAAATGAAGACACTAGTTCATTCATCTTGATTAACTTGGTTGCTACGTATATAACGTGAGGTATCTCACCATATCTATGTTATGGTCTTGGGAAGTTCAAAGTAGTGGATGGTGGGAGGTCAGGGTCTTTGACCCCAACAGGGTCATTTTGATGCCTTGGTATAACGAGAGAAAGGAGGAGGCTCATTGCGCGGTGCCAAATAGAATAATGGATATCCATTATTCCTTCTTGATCAACACTTAGCTTAATCGCTCTTCAAGTTAGAGTGTCTGGCTAACAAATTTTAATACCCCCATACAGTAGTAGAAGCCCATGTGGCTCATATTGATCCAGCATATAAACACGTGCATTGCAACCATAACTCCTCTGGGTTAACCCTTCTACACTAATCAAGAACAAAAGTGTAAGTGAGTTGTCATGTATACGTGGGTCTGCTCCTTGGAAGAGCTTGACTAACGCAGATTCTGGAAACTGGGGTGTAGTAACTAAGATCACACCAACTAATACGCAGAATCTGCCAGCTGATCGATGGAATGTTGCTGTATCCTTGCTGGGTGGCAGGCTGGCAGTAGCCTTGCTGTTGTCATTTTGCTGATGAGCTGATCTCCTGCCTATTTGGGCCTTGACCTACTCCCATAACATCAATTCCCTTCCTTTACAGTGTTGACTACCTGACTAGTGACTACTGCAAATTCCGAAAGACAGTTATTGTTTCCACAAAGCAGGCATTTAGACAATAGACATTCAATACTTATGGTTGGAGCCAAGATTTGGATTTGGGGGGTGGGGGTGGGCAGGTAGAGAGAATAATCATAAAAACAATGTGGCCTTGGCTTGCGTGTTTGAGAAAAAAATAATGTGTCCTTGGCAATTTTTTTTTTCTAGACTCCAATAATAGCAAACATGATAAAGTATGGTGGCATATATAGAGATCCCAGAACTTTCCATGGGAATTTCTGAGTAGTGTGCATTCGATTGTGACATTATTCAACACTTGCCTCTAGATGCACATGGACATTCTCCTTATTCATAGCAGCATCATGTCAAACTTTCATGCACTAATTAATGTCAAACTAGTTCTACAAAACAAATTGGAGAGGAATTGGACCACAAGATTCTGTAGTTAAATAGGAATTATTAGGTCTCAAGGTCTTTTTGGCAGAGCTTCAGCTTCAAGAATTCTTGGAGCTGGATATAAGACCCTCTGCTCTTTTTTGGGTACCAACAATTAAGAAGCCTTTTCCCTCTTCTGATAAAAAAATAGCAGCTCTAGTGAGATTGGTAATATGAGTACCTTTATGCTTTGCTAAGATGTAAAGGGCCATTTTACGATTCCATTTCTTATTTGGGTGAGCCATCTTATTCATACTTTAGAGTTTAGACTGAAATACTGGCTTTTACCACCTCATTTTAGCCTACAAACTTCATGTTCTGCAAGAATCCAGGAGTTGGAGCTCTGCCAAAAAAGCGCTTAATTGTAGCATATCTGATAATCTGATTTCAGTCTACCACACAATACCTTTTTTTTAATTGTAGTCTACTAGCTGGATGCCTGTGCTTTGCTACGGATAAAAAATATATTATAATATTAACAGGTACCAGAAATAGCATGCGCTTTGCCATGAAATGTGTTACCTATCATTTTGCTATATGTGGCTATCAATTTAGATTTGATTGATTTTTAATATTTAATACGCAGAAGTTTATGGGGTAATTTGCAAACCTATAACGGGAGTAGGTATGGAACTACCTTATTTTAATGTAGTATAGATTTTAATACTTAGAAGTTCATGGTAATTTGCAAAACAACAATGGAAGTAGGTGTGGTAGGCTGGTGGCAGATTCATTGCCGCCACCACTACCTTCTTTTAAAGTAGTGTAGATATAACAAATGGAAAGAGTAAATCACAATCACAGAAACTGATGTCTTAAAGTCCAATAGCTCATGGCTTCCAATGATTGATTTCTGGCTACAAGCTTGCCACTCACATGGATGAGTCTATCTCCTCCCTCTTGCCCTAGAATGGCCAGCGCTGCAGTAGTAAACATTGGAGGAGGCGGTGTTTCCCACAATCCCATCTCGAGGTGGAGTATTGAGTTTTTTCATAACAAGAGATTATATCCTGAAAGACCATGTTGTGAAAAGTCAAGACGATGCACTACCTCTTCATTTCGTGAGACCATGTTGTGTACTGTGTTATCACCTACTAGTACAATTGATTTCATCTCATGAGGGGACCCAAATTAACATAATACTACAATGTTACTGACATATTCCATCAGAAAATGACACTAGTGTAGAAGAGAACATGCTCTTGTCAGTGTAGTAGCTGAATGGCTCAAGCTGACTACACTGCTTTCCTTATGTTAGAGATTTGTAATTCGTTGGCTTAAAAATTGATTAGTGTCATGTCTGCTTGACCAGGCTGCAAGTTAACTCATGGCCATGAGACAGCTGCAGCCGTTGTAACTATTTTGGTTGTTCCTTTTAATAAGTACCACCCCCGTTTCATATTATAAGTTGTTTTGACTTTTTCAAAGTCAAGCTTCTTTAGGGTTGACTAAGTTTATAGAAATATAGTAATATTTTCAACACAAAACAAATAAACTATCGAAACATGTTCAATTTTAGATGTAATGAAACTAATTTGGTACTATAAGTGTTGCTAAGTCTATTTCCTCTCCCTGGATGTTTCTATTCTGCCCTGCATGTCTTCTTTCCACCTGTTGTTGATCCTATCCCCAACCACACTCCAGTTATTCACAACTAACCCATACAGTCCCTGGATCAGGACATAATAATTTTGTAAGAAGATATCATTCCTATTCCCATGATCGACAAGTGGATTGGCTGAACTAGATAGCTACTCAGTTTCTACTTTTACCAAAATCCACATTTCCTTTTTGTTTTGAGCAAAAACATAATTCCTAATTGCTGTTGGCATCCATTCAAGTTATCTGGACAACACACGGTCAAATTTGATGATTCGGTTCTCTATTATAATGTTTTGAGACAAATCTACATCATGGAATGCTGTTGATGCTTCATCTGAACATGATAGGAAGTTATAGTTTGATCAGATGCTATCAGAATGACCCACCTCTCCCTCCGAGCATGGCGTGATGCCATGACAGCTTGTTCCTCTGCACAGAACATGAATTAATGGCCAGACCTCGCTATTATTGTCCTTCCAGTGCATGCAGGCAAGACTCCTATGCATGCACCCTGTGACCTTGCAGTTATCCTCCTGGCATGCAGCCACCATTCTCCTCCACATGTCTAGCAAATAATTCTTGGTCCTTGTTATCATCCTCCATGTGCATGGTGGACACCTCGTCGTCTGCATGGACAGTGGCGGAGGACGGAAAAAAAAATAGGTATGGCCCATGGACTACCACAAGAGTTAGCATCAGCCAAGAATAAAGAAAAAAAAAAGCAATCTCAATGCACGATATTGTACGATGCAACATTATCTCATCAAGTCTACATTAAGCATGGTAATAAGCACTAATCACAAGTTCATAATTCATCGTCTATTTCCCAAAAGCGTAAATAGAAGAGTAGAAACTCAAACATACCTCAACTCCTTAAGACTCAGCCTTTCCGCAATACATTACATATAGAAACTGGTGAGCATAGATAGATATACTTAGAATCTGCAAAGCAAATAGCAAAGATTGATTAGTATAGTATATGCTGCAGTGCCTCTGCAAAGCAATGCAAATAGCCTCTGCCTGCTGCGGTGCTACCTGCTTGCCAGCCGTGCCGGGTGCATGTAGCTACTGCTGCGATGCTGCCTGCTTGCTGGCTTGCTGCCCAGCCCATGCCGCGGCGTTGCAGCCTCGCGCCGCCGCGTCGATGCTCCGCGCCGCTGGCCCGCGCGATCGCACCGCTGGCCCGCGCGATCGCACCGCGTCTTCTCCTCTCCACACCGCCGCCCCGCGCAGCGCAGTCGCCGCTGTCCACCGCGCCTCCTCCCCACGCCGCCCTGTGCCGCTGCGCCGCAGCCGCGCCTCCTCCGCCGCAGCCGCGCCTCCTCCTCGCGACCTTGCGACGGCGCCTCCCAGCTCCACAGCCGCGGAGAATTGGGGATTAGGGATTGGAAAATTGGGGAAAGGAAAATTTAGGTCTAGGGTTTGATCCCCATTTGCACAAAACAACTAAACAAGCCCAATGGGCTGAATATCTTGGGCTGCTTGACTGCTTCGCTCCTCTCGCGAGTCGCGACTGGAAGTTGGACGCGGCGTCAGCGTCGCTACTCTCGCTCTCGCTCTCTCTCTCTGCGCGCCCAATCTTGCCGGCGGGCGGCGGCTGGAGCCTTTGGGGGGGGGGGGGGGATGGAGGAAGGTATGGCGAGGGCCACACCTTGCCCTACCGAGAGCTCCGCCCCTGTGCATGGACAACCTGAGTCTCAGCTGCTTTACTACCTGTGTTTTAACAAGCAACATGGTCATGTGAAGACAGCTTACTTCCAAGGGAAGGTTTTGAGTTGTAACAACCATAACTAGCTCGAATTTGTTTACGCGACATATGATTGAAAGAAAGCCACAACTTTAAACTAAGTTTCATATTTTGGCAAGGTTTCAAGTTGATGTCTCATCAAGTTTCAGCAGGTTATACACCATTGTTAGAGTTTCAAGCAACTTCGTAGTGTCTAAGCATGATTGTCCCATGCAAGTGTCACGGAGTTTAAAGTATGTTTCAGCGAAGTTTCAATAAAATTGCAGAGTTTCAGGCAAGATTCATGTAGTTTCAGAAAATCTTCATGATTCTCAATAAACAAAACCGGATGTCAATTTGAAGCTCAAAATGGTACCTCCATCACCAGTGAACTTTTCAAAATTCAGGTCTAAATCAAGTTTCAGTCACATGAGCACCAGAGATGAAAACACAAGGAACCTGATGTGGAGGCCTCCACAACGTTATTCATTGGGGGCTCAGCTGATCAAGCAAGCCTCCTAGCTATGTGCTGAAGCTCAGTGAGTTTAGCAGCTTCTGGCAACCATGGAGCCTTCTGTCCTGCCATAGCTGTTCTTCCCGTGAGTGTTCAGTAGGCAATAGCATGCAGGCATCTCCATGACCATGCATAAACCAACCAGAATCATGCCATCTGTTCTCAGATTGAAAGAATCAGAGATCTTTAGGATAAAATACTCGCTGGAGCTTTGGATTTGAGATTTATTTAAATCTTAAGATCCTATCACGATGGAGAAAGGGATGGTGTGGTGGGGACAGGGTTCAGAAAACTGGTGGTAACCGGTGAACACTACCAGAACAAATTGCCAGAATTTCTGAATTTAAATTTAGAATTTGTTAATTTCTTATAGCTGCATTTTTTCAGTCCCGCTGATCGCCTGTAGTCTGGTACAGTAGCCGGCCAACAATCATTATTTGAATTCATATATTTGATTCAAAATTTTGTCCAGTAAACTGTGATAACCAGTCAGTTACCAGTCTGGCCCAGGAGATCAGTATTTTTCTAAATACCATTTTTTTGAAAACCTTGGATGGGGAAGGGGAAGTGGTCTGATGATACAGATTTGGACAGGGGTTGAATTGAGCATGAAACGAGTTATGGATGATATTGAGCTGTGCTATATTTTCTGAATGTTTTTAAAAGTGTAGGATTTTTCTATCTGAGGAAGAGAATTTTGTTATGCTGCTCTACACAATTCAATGTTCGGAAAGTTCCAATCTTTAGTTGGGCATGTCTTGTTTTCTGACTGTCTTATTTTGTTTCAGTACATTTACACTTGAGCACAGTTATGTATATCTTCATTAATACATTTGTGGTCGGTGGTGCAGGTAGCTTTGTTGCTACAAGTTGGAAGGGAGGCACTACCACCTGACATCGTCGCAAAAATCATCGCAGCAAGAGACCGCAAGGAACTAGCAAAGGTGGCATTATCAGCACCACCTCATGGATTGTACCTCATGTCAGTCAACTATGACAAGGAAATGCTACAGCCTCCTGAGGGTGCCCCTCACATTAGCTTTGGAAGGACTCATCAGATTAGCAAATGTAAACTCCTATTTTATTGATTTTTTTCTTGAAATACTATCAATAGAGATGTGATATTTCCTAGTTTCTTTTGCCTAATAAAATTTCCCTATTGTTAACCATTGGACCTTTTCGGCTGCTAATTTCTTGCAAGAGGATGTCTATTTGTTCGTGGAAGCTAGACAAAAGAAATCCTGAAACCTGGGTAGTGCTCACCTTCTGTTAGCACTGCTAGGGTTTGTCAAGTTAATGATCTTAACCTTCGTTGTCAGGGCAGCCTTTTGTTGATGACAAAGAAGAGATGAAATTGCTATCTTCTTTTAATACCTAGGATTATGTTGAATGTGATATTCTTTGTGATCTAGGTAGCCAAATTGTGACACTCTTTGATTTGTCAGTTTTAGAAAAGCAGGATCATGAGTTCAGGCATTCCAGCGGCTTTCAAAGGCAAAATGTGACAACTATCTTTGACTTGCAGTTTCAGAAAAGCAGGATCACAAGTTCAGGCTTTCCAGCGTTTTTATAGAAACGGAATGCGCAGGTAGTTCCCTCCTGTATGCTGTTCTCTCCGATGTATTCCTTCCAGCTTGTTGTGAGGTTATATCGCAATCTGTTGATTCTACAATTATCATGGTAAGACGTGCTTTGCTATGTGCACTGCTGAAGAATCCTTGTTGAAGCACTGCAAATATAAGAAAAAGGAAACCATTCATTGATGTATGGAGTTGGTCTGAAATATGTATGCTCACCATGCATCCTGTTCTGGTCGATGCATGTCTTTGTTAATGGTGAATTTTCGTTGTCTTTCAGCACATACGGAATGTCTTGTAGAAAACCCTTCATTTCACATGTAAAGCTCAGTTTTGTTTGTAACTATCCAATGGTCTTTACCTTTCTTTTTAGAAGCACTATGATCTGGTGCGCATGCTGACATTGACGATTTCCTCTTGGGATGGCTGCTTGTTGGGGATGGGTGCAAAATACTACTCCATCCGTCTAATAGAAAACGAATCTAAAACCGGATGTGACGTATTCTAGGACTACGAATCTGAACATTCATAATATTAGGATAGGTTGATTTTTTATGGGATGGATGGATGGGATGGAGGGAGTACAAGTGAAAAAAAAATATATTCTTGCACGGTTACTTTCTTACCTTCATCTGTGTCCGCTAGTAGTATGATTGGTGTCTTCTTCCGAAGAAAGCAATTGTCCTTGATATTGTTTCCTTTGCTGCTTTCGCCTTGTGCTGGTACTACCTCTGGCATTTTTTCACATCCGTAATCATCAAATACTGTAATGTCTGCTTTGGATGGAATATTTCCTATCCATTTCGATAGATAGATCTTACTTGCAACCAAGGTCAGTAGCAAACACATGATTTATTTGTAGGGTATTCCTTAACAATTGTATGGATACTATGCCTAATGTTTTTAATGGACTAAATTAGAGGATTATTGTGAGCTAAATATCTAGGAAAGTCAGTTTCTTGGATACAAAAGACAAAAATGTAAAATTACATCTAGTGGAGTTTATATTTGTGTAATATATCTATCCATATTAATTTGTTTCATTAATTTTTTGAGTATTTATGGGAATACAGAGAATACTCACCGTGTCCGCCACTGCTTGAGCTATCTACACGGTTGCTAGTGCATCTTGTCTATGGAACAATTGGATTATGCATTGTATGCTTTGGAGGCCGTGACCCAATAGAACCTGCATTAATTCAACATTTCCCGATGGTCTGCATGCGGGCAGTAGCTCCCTCAAGTTAGTAGGATCTCTCCAGCAAGTAGGATGACGTCCCTCCCTAGCTCCCAAAGGTAGGAAACCAATGGGACACCACAATGGTTAGTCACAATGGTTTAGGAGGAACCTGAAAAACTCCGTGGCCATGAACTGCTCCCGAGCGAGGATGTAGCTTGTGGTTGAAGCGAAGGCAACACCAAGAGTCTACGTGCTTTCTGCTACAGTAGAACACCTTGGGACTTGGGAGCAGGCGAAGCGATGTTCTAAACGCATCGCTATCAGGAGCGTGCAACGTGCAAGCTGTTGCCCAATTGGCAAACAACGGACATGACAGGGGCAGGTAGAGGAGCAAGCCTCGCAGCTAGCATCGCGTAGACGCATGGGCGTGGGGTCGACGGCTAAGCCAGATATATTTGCAAATGAAAAATAATTTATAAATAATATTTTTATTTACGTGTTCTTAGCGATCTAAAAACAAAGGTTGAAAAATAAAATTTGATGAAAAAAACCCTAAAATCAACTCCAAATTTAAGATTAAAAATTCAAATTTTAGTTGATAACATAAGTATAAGGAAAAAATGAGACCGCGAAGATCCATATCAGCAAAATGTGGTGACGCACGGCAACAACACATCCAGGTGTAAGCTTCTCTTGCATCCGTCCACATCCGTTCGCACGGTATGCTGGGCGTCCACAATGTGTATCCCATAGTTCGCGTCAATATATCTAGTATGCACACGAACTGTAGCGCATCCATGGCGTACAGTACACCCACGCACTGCATGTATCGACCGCTTTGAACTCTAAAGGAGGGGATGTACACTTGTACGTTCCTACCACAACCAGCTTGACATGACGTCTAATCCATGGGCCTATCTGGAGGCTGCATCCAGAGGTCTACTGCCTACACCCGGGCCAACAAAATGGCTAGCCTGACAGAGTGATGAATCCATGAGGCCATGCCAGCAAAACGATCAACCTGGCAGAGCGACGAATCCATGAGACAGGTACGACTTGCTATTATATGTATGACTTATAACTTCCTATTATCTGTAAGACTTGGAGCTTCGAATTATGTGAATTTTGTAATGGAATGCACATTAATCAGTTAATTGTGGCTCTAATTATTGGTGAATGAACACATGCACACTAAACAATTACTTATATTGTAGATCTAACCATTACTCTCAACATTAACATATAAATAATTTTGTGCATTTTAAAATTATCACTATGGGAGGTAACCTCACCAACACAATGTGGGGATGTATCTATATTCAGCCTTTCCACTTTCATCTCTCCATCCGAACCTGTGACAACCAAACAAAAAACAAGGTTCAACCCATTCTTTCAACCAAACGTAAACATAAACTAGATCCATCCCATCCAAAAACACATCCCTCCTAGTTCTGAAACCAAACACTTGACTCACCAATCTAACTAATGCCGCCGGAGAAAGAAATACCTAGGGTCTCGAGTGAACAGAGGTGGGGCTTAAGCCCCAATTAGCCTCAATGGTAAATGAGCCCCTATAGAGGTCAACATATATTTTACAATCACATTAATAAATGGTCAGTCAGAAGCATCCAACATCTAGATAGTTCATCTATACTAATACTAATGGGATGTTTGGTTATTTACTAACTTTGCCAAACCTCAGCTTAGGCAAAGCATGGCTGCCACAGAATGTGTGGCTAGTATTTTGCTAGCCACAACTTAGCCATATTTAGCAAAAAATGCAAGTCTATGACATATAGGACCATATAGAAAAAAAGTGTGGCTTAGCCACAATTGTGTCATCAACCAAACAAGTAGTTAAAAAAATGTGGCGTGACTCCTTAGGCATGGCAAGTTGTGGCATGCAACCAAACATCCCCTAATATACTCCCTCCGTCTCACAATATAAGATGTTTTGCCCCTATAATTTATCCCACAATATAAGGGATTTGTGATCCCAAGACAACGCTTTATTTCCCATCTATCTCTTGTATTAGTTTATTTTCCCACCTATCAACTCTTGTACTTATTTATTCTTCATATATAAAATCTTGTACTATTTTGTACTTCCATCTATCACAATTTGTACTATAACATGTCATTTTGCTACTTCCTTAATTTATGCTAAAAATGACATAATCCCTTCTATTATAGGGCGGAGGGAGTAAAAAAAAAAGGAGTTAGATTCTTTGCTAGCTCCACCCAACATATTGTACATAAAATCCTCCTATCCAGTCGTCAACCTTTAGATTATCTCATCCAACAGCTACCACGGGATCTCTAGGAGTATGTTGCAATCCAACGTTGGAATCACCGATCCACCCAACAAGACATCCTCTCGTGAAGGAATAATTAATTATTTTCCACTTTTACGAGTGGTGATAAAGAATTTGTCACTGAACCAAAATGTCATAGACAACATGTGCGTTCCCCATCTCTCCTCCCAAATCACGTCTCCGGCCTTCAAGCTTCAGGCCATACTCCCTTCTCTATCCCCGTCATCGTCGTGTTGCCTGGCGATCCTCCGCCGCTGCCAGCGATGCTCTCCCGTCGCTTTCCCCCCTCCTCCGTGCAAACCCTACAATCCTCCTTCTCCCCTGCCACCAGATCGCCGCTGCGTCGGCTCGCCTCACTGCCTTCTCAAGCCGTCGTGGATCCTCCCTAGCTTTCTCGCCGTCGTCTCAGGTGCGAAACCGACGACCACATCCCAAGCTATTCCATGAGGAGAACCTCAAATATGGTCGTGAGCTCACTTCCCCGGTACCTTCTCCTCACTCCCACTTCCAAATACTGTCTGTAAATAATAATATCTTGCTAGGTTGTGTGTATGGATTGAGCAGCAGCACACTCATTTAACTATCAGATCTTCTATGGTGTTAGCTGACATTTGAGCTTAGCACATGTGCTAACCTTCTGAAACCACCACTAGAATTCAATCAGCAATAATAAAATTTATACCAATGAATTATGCACTGTTTAAACTTGTACTAATGACAAAAGAACTGGTGTTAGAGCATCTCCAACAGCCTCTCTAAATTGGACTCTCCAAACACCCATATATCCAACTCTCCATCTGATTTGGCTAGTCAAACTAGTTACTCGCTCCAACAGCCTCTCTATCTACTATCCCCATTATAAGTCTATGACAAATAGGGCCCATATGTCAGCCTCTGCTACCCTTCTCCCTTCAATATCGTGCCCCATCGGCCCTTCCCTCCACTGCGGCGTCTCCATCGAGCCCAAGTGCACGCGGCTTCCCTTCCTCTTTGGCTTCTTCGCCTTTGCCTTTGTCTTCGTCTTCGGCGACACCGGCTGCGACGACGGCAGCGGCACGGGCGCGGGCGCTGTTGGCGGAGGTTGCTTGCTATGGGGAGGTCACGTCACCGGCAGCTTCGGTGTCCTCTTGACGAGGTAGATGTCGGCGACGAAGACGGCTTGTGGCCGGGCGTCCAGATCGGGCTATCGGGTGGTGACGCGGGGGCGGTCGACGGTGGCTCGACG